AACAAGCGCCTTAGAGCCCGCACTTGTGCAAAGATAGCTTTTGATGGTGATATTCTTTGGCATCATGTAAATGATCAAAATCCTCTTTTATTGTTTTACAAGAGGATAGTGTCCATATTTTAAATGCCCAGGGGCATAGTTTTTTGTTTTTTTGGTTCCTGCTTTGGGAATGATTTTGTTACAAGTACTTTTGACTTTTTTTATTGCAAAATGCAATATTCAAGGAATGAGAGCATTAAAGCTCCTAATATAGTCTTCGCACCACAACATCACCCTTTGGCACAACGATGTTGTGTCAAGTTTTGGGCTTGGTGCATAGGTGACACCAAGTGGTGCTTAGGTGTTGCACTGAATATCACTCAATAACATTGCGACTTCGATTTTATAAGATCCAAATGCCATCATTTTTTATAAATTTTTTGCTTGATGGTTTGGTGCTGCTCAACATTGTAATGATTTCATGCCCACATTCTATGGCTAAGAGATTTGATGTTAATCCAAGTTCTGCTACCCCTTAAATTTTGAGTTGATTTGACTTGTATTCACAGTGCCACATTTTTGGAATCGGGGCGCTAGGACATGATCCATGGGAATTTTGCCAATTTCGTGGTGTTAAAAGCTCAAGTCTACTTTTTTTGACATTGTGACTATATTGTAGAGCCACTATGAAATTTGCTGCACTTAGTGAGCAATGCCAGCCATTTGTGCTGTGATGCTACGAAAAAATATGAGAAAGTTAATTCTTCTTCAATGTGCAATCGCTACATCATGTTCGTTGTAGTGTAATGACTGCTAGTGCTATGACTATCTAGTCATGTTCAACATTTTGCTAAATGGTTTCAAATTCAGTCATAGTGTTTATACCCTAAATATTTGATTGCACCCTTTTATAGGAGTGGCAGTCACTCGCCTTATTGATTTCCTTGATGGGTGAGTTTGTTAATACCAAATTTGTATGAGTTCATGCTTTTTTAGGCTACAAGCTTAGTGATTTTCATCTCTGGAGCATTTATTCCTCCTCTTTGTAGAGGTGGTGATCCTTAACCTTATTGTGAATGCTCCTCTAAATGATGAGTCATCTAATGAAAAAATTATGAAATTAGAATACCAAGATAAATTATCCTAGTTGTTCAATTTCATATGTGCCTTGATGACCAAGAAGGAATCTAATTGAAAGGTGGTTATCTCCAGGAAAGTAGGAATATGACTCATATTCATAACCCTTGAGTGAGAACGATGATATTCTCATATTATTTATTAGTCATATACAAATAATAAAGTGAATTATGAAGCTTTAATTATTTTTCTACACTTAACTACAATAATGGACATTCAAGATGTTAAAGTTTTTGTAGACTCAGAGCTAGTAATTAATTAGATCGCTAGAAAGTACAAAGTTTTGAAACTATAACATCATCAATATTACTAGTACACTATCAGTTTACTCGAGCATATTTTGAATGTCACTTTGTACTGAATACTCCATGGTAGCAACACCACTATGGATAATCTAACAAAGTTGGTTAAAGAGATAATATGTTTGGAAGAGGAGCAAATACCCACTGAGTTCAAGGTTGTCAAGTCCTTTTCTTAGCTGACATGGATTACATTAATAGACGCCAGGAACAAATTGTGGAAGCCGCAATTGAAGAGTTAGTTGGTTGGAGACAATCATTTATAGATTACTTGGGAGAAGTCAAACTACCCTAAGATAAATCAGTAGTTCGCCAAGTGAAATCCAGAGCTTTACCTTACGCCCTCATGAATGACACACTTTATCAAAGGTCCTTCGGTCACATGTGGGTATGATGCTTAGACAAGCATGAAGCCCAAAGGATTATCAAAGATATACATTCAATATTATGCAAAGCTCATTAATCTTGCCCTATGATAAACGCAAAGATTAAGAGAATGAGATATTATTGGCCAACAATGATTAACGATGGAGACTACACAACAACATTATTTTATTAACTACACGATTTAGTTTTACATCAGTCGCCGAACTTATTACACCCCACAATTCCCTTGTGGCTTTTTCATTGTTGGGGCACAGACATCATGGGAACTATTGACTCACATTCATCAAAATGACATAGATTTATAGTGATTTTGGATAATTATATCCTTAAGTGGGAGGAATCCCTTCCTTTTAGAGAAATGAAAGCTCCTAATATATAGCATTTCCTTAGAAATCGCATTGTACATCGGTTTGATGTTCCTTGATGAGTTATATTAGACAATGGTCTTGCATTTAGGAGTACTAAGCTACACAACTTCATGAAATGTCATAACATTGATTGAAGATATTTAACAATACTATCCCAACCAAATGGACTAGTTGAAGCATTTAACAAACTTTAGTTAAAATCCTTAAAAAAATACTTGAAAGTAAAAAAATTTCAGTGGTATGAGCAGTCGGTGGAGATTTTATGGGCTTACCAAAGAACATATTGAACCCCAACTTAACCAACTCTGTTTGCTTTAGCATATGGGTCTAAAGCCGCATTCCTATTAGAAGTGCAAATTCCCTCTCTAAGGATTGCTACTTGTAAAAAAAGTTCTCCATAACAAAATATTGAATTGCAATTGGAAGAACTTGAAGGATTAGAAGAAGCATGTCTATCAGCTCAGTAGAATCTTGGACTATATCAAGCATGGATGGTTCAAGCTCATGCTAAACTAATTCAACCTAGAACCTTTCATGTAGGGGAATTGGTCCTAGTCCTTAAAAGACCTATCCTCACTCATCAAGAAAATAGGTAGCAACTTTGAACCAATGTGGAAAGTCCATTTGTGATAGATAAAGTATATCAAGGAGGTTTTTAAAAATTAGTAGAATGTAAGGGTGAACATCTGATGATCCCCATCAGTGGGTGTAACCTGAAGAAATACGATGCACGGTGCTGTAAAAGAATATTTAAATTAATAAAATCTGTTGTTGGGATCTTAATTGAAAGTCATCCAACTATTGAATCTCTAAATTCTAAGGAATTTTGAATTATCAACATCTTGAATTTAAGATCTAACTTTAACGAAATAATGTACTTAACTAAACTCATTGAAATTAACTAAAATTATTCAAAACTTAATCAAATGAATCTGATTCCAATAAAACAAAATTCAACTATACTAAACCATTGATTTGAACCATCAAAATTCATACCATTAGGCTTTTTGTTAGCATAGCTTTGCAATATAGTTAAAAAGATAATAAAACAGATTATAATGCTTCTTTCAATGACCAGCTAAAGAGGCATTCACATAGTCAAATATCAAATTTTCAACGATTTGTAATATTTTTACCATGTATACATATTAAAGAAAGCCATCTTTGAACTTAAACAAGTTAAGGTAATGCTATGACAATAAGGATTCAAATTCATCATCATTTATTTGTCATTGAAAAAAATAAATAAAGAGCGACAAACTACCACTTATCTGCTCATATACATTAATGATATATTTTTCTCAATAGCAAAGATTAACAAGCCATTTGCTCCCTTCTTTAATATTTACATAGTAGGTTCAATGTGAAAATTTTGGGATTGATCTCTTACTTTATTGATATTTAGGTTTATCCAACATATACATCTTTACTTTCTAGTATAAATACATGCATGAAATTATGCAGGAAGTGAAAATGTTAGCTATGAACCAATTTCAAACCATCTACCATCCAACTTCTTACCACAAAACAAATTCTAGTAAAATTTTTCATGATTCCAAATTCTACTAGAACAATTTTGATTCTCTTCAACCCCCTACAATTGGTAGAGTGAGTGATTAGCATTGTTTGCTCAAAATAGTGATTCATGTAATTAAAATCTATGTTATCTTCTAATTTGCATATCTAGTTTGCTTATCTCTTTTTTGTTGTGTTATTAGCTCAATATATATTTTAAACAACTCTTAAGTCTTGTTTCTTAAAATATTCATGACTAAATCCAATGTCATCTTTTGGACGGAGTCTAAAATTACGGAATTTCAGTATGTGTTATTAGCTCAATATATATTTTAAACAACTCTAAAATCTTGTTTCTTAAAATATTCATGACTAAATCCAAGATCATCTTTTGGACGAAAGAGTCTAAAATTACGGAATTTCAGTAATAACAAATCCTACTTAATTGTTGGAACAGACAATCATTGCTTTCTCAAATCAATGAATGACCTATTCAATGAATAAAATAGTTTGCAGAAGATGTTGTTTATGATTTTCAAAGCTCGGCTCGTTGCACGTTACGTAGGGCTAAGGCAGTAGAATAGCAAGTCAAGTTCTTGAAAGAGATTCGTAATACATAGCCAATTCTGCAAACTATTTTATTTGTTATATATATATATATATAAATTGAGCTCTGTCTGAATACCATCATGCATGTTAAAAATCTTGATAAATTTATGATGATCTTTAAACCGAAAATCATGAATGTGCTCAGAAAGTGGAAAAATTATTGCATACGGACACCACATGCAGAGCTGTATGCGGTGTAGAAATTTACACCGTAGATCACGGTACGATGAGAATGCAATCATTTTTTTTTTTTTTGTTTAAAAAAAGTACACCGTAGATCACGGTACGATGAGAATGCAATCAAATTTTTTTTGTTTAAAAAAAAAATAAAAAAATTTAAAGTGAGGCCCACCAAAATAGATATCACCGTATAGAACGAATATGCAATAATTCTTCCGCCCTGTCTCTCTCTCCTCGTTCAACTTGTTCTGCGGCTATTAGATTTTCTTGCATATGGGTACAAAATTTGAGGCTTCCAAAGCCGATAATTTAGACAAAAATAAGTTTTTGGACATGTAATAATTGTAAGATTTTTCTTTATCTTTTCTAGAAAATCTAATATAACACGCCAAAGTGAGCCCCACCTGATTTAATAAACCCATGACATAGTGCTATCTGTTAGCTATAAATACCACTCCCATGGGCACCACAGCTTCCCATGGGCACCACAGCTCACAGCTCCCCATCTGCCTTCCCATAAATCAGAATGGCTACTAGCAGCAGGCTTACAACCCTTGCAATTCTTCTTCTGCTTAGCGTTGGTGTTTGCCTCTCTTTTGGAAGGTCTTCCAAGGAGATTGGCGGGTCAAAATCGGCTCTTATTTACCCCCCACCACCAAGCAATAATAGTCTAGGGGTAGGAGATGGTGGAGGCAATAGCAATGGTGGCAATAGTGGCACCGGTGTTGATGGTGATGGTAGCAGTGGAGGAGCAGTCAATGGAGGCAATGACAGTGATGGCGGCAGCGGAGTAGTTGGTGGAGGTGACGGAAAAGGTGGTGACGGTAGCAGCGGAGGAAATGGTTGTAATGGTGGAAATGTAGGAGCTGATAGTGGCAATGGTGGTGCAAATGGAGGAGCTGATGGCAATGGTGGTGGAGGTAATGGTACAATTGGAGGGGGTGATGGTGGGGCCGATAGCGGCAGTGGAGTTGGCGGTGATGGTAGCAATGGAGGAGGTGATGGCAACAATAGCGGTACCGGAGGTGTTGGCAACAGAGGAGTTGGTGCACCCATTGCAGGCGGAAGCGACGGCGGAGGAGTTGGTGCACCCATTGCGGGAGGAAGTGACGGAGGAGCAGATGGTGGAGTTGGAGGTGATGGTAGCGGCAATGAAGGATATGGCGGTGGCAATGGTGGTGGGGTTGATAGTGTCGGCCATGGCAGTGGAGGTGATGGCCGCTATTGAAGAGTGTTCAAAGGCAGGATGTGGCTACAGCCACC